TGTTTCTACTTCTCTCTGCGATTCACTATACCCCCGTGTTTCTTCTACTCTCCGCGTTTTACTGTACCCCCGTGTTTTCTTTACTCTCCATGTTTCACTATACTCCCGTGTTTCTTATACTCTCTGTGTTTCACAATACCCCCATGTTTCTACTTCTCTCCGTGTTTCACTATACCCCCGTGTTTCTTCTACTCTCCGCGTTTTACTGTACCCCCGTGTTTTCTTTACTCTCCATGTTTCACTATACTACCGTGTTTCTTATACTCTCCGTGTTTCACTATACCCCATGTTTCTACTATACTATGCGTTTTCACTTTTTCCTGTGTATCTTCTTTAATCCGTGTTTCTTCTTTACTATTGAATTATTACTATTTTCTAGATGAAGGCATGTACATTTTGTAGTTATTTTCTGTAATGTAAAAGTCACAGGTGGCAGTATCAGTGTTTGGACACCCCACCCCTAAATGCCCCTGTCCCCTACTATAACCCTGAAAAAAAATTCAACACTCGGAGGCTTATAATAAGGTACCAAATACTAAACCACCGAAAAAATAATGAAATTTTTTTTCCCACTATCAAAATTATAGTTATAGAAAGGTGAAAAGCCTACTATATGTTCATTTGCCAAACAATGTGGAACACGGGAAATCGTCGTTTCGGCGACTGAGGCGCATTCCGGCGGGATTTCGCTGCATCATTCATTAACATCAATAAAAAGAACTTGAATTCCACAGCTTACTTAATTCAAGTCCAACGAATATCACTATCATTCCGATTTTTTTTGCTTCACGGTATTTTTTTACTTGTCGTAGCCATTTTGCAGTCTGATACCTGGGTTGTAATACGCGATCTGATTGGACGAGCCTAATTGGACGCCCAATCAGAACGCGTATATCACACAGGTATCATAATCTTAAATGGCAGCGACAAGTAAACAAAATACCGTGAAACAGAAAAAAAAACGATATAATATTGATATTCGTTGGACTTGAATTAAGTAAAGCTGTGGAATTCAAGTTCTTTTTATTGATGTTAATGTTCCACATTGTTTGGCAAATGAACATATAGTAGGCTTTTCACCTTTCTATAACTATAATTTTGATAGTGGATTTTTTTTTTTTCATAATTTAATCGGTGGTTTTGTATTTGGTACCTTATAATAAGCCTCCGAGTGTTGAATTTTTTTTTCAAGGTTATAGTAGGTGTCCAGGGTCAGATAGGGGTGGGGTGTCCAAACACTGATTCTGCCACCTGTGGTAAAAGTTGCCAATATTCACACTGTGAGCACGTTTAGAAATATCGTTTTATTTAATTTCAAACATCCTTTTAAAAGTTGTGAAGGCTTATGAATATTTTTGAACATCATTAAATATGCTCTTGAAACTGATAAGAATTGATGCTGATGTGAAATATTTAGATACGTTTCCGTTTTTCTTCAACTCGTTATGATAATAACATATAAAATTTTGAATAAACATGCTAAAAAATCTTAAAAATTAGTAAAACCAGTCTCTGCTCCGTGATAATGTTCTTGTAGAAAAATGTGCATTACTTTAAATGCTTTTTGTCATTTTTTTATTTTATTAATTTATTTTATTGCTATCAGAGGTCGTGCATCTTGCACGTGGAGGTCACCCAGACGGTAAATAAAGATTGTAACATTACAATATTCAAATTAACCTACACAGTAACATTTAAAGGATCTAAACAATGTTGCAATACCATGTGACCTTGACGTCATTTTCGGCATCATTTCCAAGACAAATATTGCTCGATTCGAAAAAGACATGGGCCGTAAGCATTCTATTTCTGTACCAATTTCTTTGGGATATGTACCAGTCTACGGTGTAAAATATATGTTTGTCACAGACTTTTTGATCTCCTTCAGCATATGAGCCGTTCAAGCAAACATTTTTTATAACCTTTGAAGTTGTTTGTATAGGAGCGGACTTCATTTACAAGTTATTTCGTTTTCTTGCATTATTATCCTATCTTCGCCATGATTAAAAAGTCAGGTTTACATTAACCGGGAGTACGGAAGGCAAAATCCTACCTATATATGTCTACATTGTTATTATTAATGGCGTAAATCTTACCTTTTTCTTCAATTGTCAATTCTGGCACCAGTTCCAAGTCGGAAAAATCGGACTACAGTTTAAAGCAGATTCAAAAATTTGTTGTAAATGCAAAGCATCATGCTTTCCGTTCTCTTTTTATAATTTGTGAAAAATCTATTAAATTCACGAAGCAATACCACTTACCAGTATCGCAATAGTGCACGTAAAATCACGTAGATTTAGTCCTGTACAAAAATTAATGTTTTGTTACGTTTTGAAGTTGTTTAAAGTATCCTCTATGTTTTAAATGTGTTTTATTTTGAAACTGATAAGAAATACCTGTGCTCTTAGTGAGATATAACAGAAATCGGAGAACATTTGTATGCTGCGGAAATGGTAACTGGTAATACTTTAGTCTATTTTTTGTAAAGAGTTACTGATAAACACTGGCACTCGTTGATGAAAATTGTTTTAATATGCTTTGTTCATATCTTCACGCCAGTTAACGTTGCGAATAAGTTACTCTGTGCTCACACGAGAGACCTGTTTAAAAGGTATATGTTTTTTTTTCTGAAATTGCTAATTTAAATAATTGATATTGTTTGACAAACCAATAAAGAAAAAAAAACAGTTTGAAGTACTATTAACATGTATCGGTAAAATCACTAAGTGCGTAACATGACTTTAGCATGGTCTGCTTTAAGCACTTTCACACGCTTGGCAAACTGTCGTTCCACTTCAAAATTGTGGTGTACGGTAAAACGAGCGAACAGCATTTCCGAGAAAGAGCGGAAGGCCGATTTAAACGGCTAATTGTTAGTATTGTTTATGTTTTTGTCTTGTTATTCATTTAAGTTGTATTTTTTCGAAAAACAGAAAATGTAGTTCCGCGTAGGATTGTTTTAGGCTTTCAATTATCTAAACTGTTACAAAAAAAAATTATATTAAACCCGGGAGAACGTTTCCCCCTGACAAAGTGAACGAGGATTTGTAAAACATCAAACTTTCAACCATGGAAACGCTTTACACTTCGGATTTCTTGAAAAAATGTAATAGCAACACCAGCAATAACTATTATTGTGGTCCATTCGGAACTGATGCGCTCATTTCCATCATTTGCTTGGATAATTGCTAGCAAAAATATCTCAACTATATGTAAAATTTCGGTTACATTAAATTATGTTCAATTTTTATCAAACAACTGTTAAATGACTGTCTGCCGAGCCCTTCGTTATTTACGTATCGTGTCAGATATTTGACTTGTTCGGTATTACGTTTATCATGTTTTAAATTCCTTTTTTAAAATCTTAAAATGTAACAAAAATCGAGGACCTCTCCAGCTCATGCTGCGCGCAATAATAATTGCATTTACAGCCAATGGCTACATCAATAAGAAATAGTGCCGATCGGTTTTATTCAATTGAAAGAGAGACATTATTGTTAAAAATTCTACTCGATTTAAAGAGTTTCAAACCATAAAGTAAGAGGTTTACGTTCTCAATATGTATTGGTGAGCTGTCTGATAAAGCTGGGTGACTGATAAAGATATGGTGTTTATCAGCAGAAAGAAACGTAATAACAAAATCATTAGTGTGGAACAAAGTTCTATCCAGTTCACGAAAGGCTGTTACCTTGTGCTTTATAACTCTCGCGGAGTTTAGGCGTATCCTTTTTCACAGCATACAAATGGAAGTGTTCCTGAATGTGCACGTTCATGGGTTCTCCGATATCTTCAATAATATCTAAATTCTTCCTTGAAATGAAACACAGATATTTCTCATTAATTTCAGCCAGTCTGAAATAGAATGAAACTCATTTTACTGCAAAGGGTATAAAACTTAGTTCTTGGGGCGTGGACGGTAGCTTGATTTTCCAGTACCGTCGAGCCAAACCGAGCCTGCAACATTTTCAATTTTTAAGTTCTTGGAGTTTTTTTAGGAATTCTGTGTTTCTTTCTGTTTTGGATTCCACGATTGGTATTGCTTCATGACACTAATAGATTTTTCACTATCATTACTGTGAAAGAACAATGATAATTTAAAAAGCAATTTTAGGACTTTCAAAATAACTTATTGCGCAGGCACATAGTACATCGTATAGTAAACAAAATAACATTATGGTTAATATACTTATAGAAAGAGAACGGAACGCATGTTGCCTCGTATTTGCAACCAATTCTAAAATCTGCTTTAAACTGTAGTTCGAATTTTTCGTCTTTGGAACTGGTGCCAGACGTGACAATGGAAGAAAAATGTAAGATTTACACCATTAATAATAACAATATAGACATATATAGGTAGGATTTTGCCTTCCGTACTCCCGGTTAATGTAACCCTGACTTTTAAATCATGGCGACGATCATATAATGTAAGGGAAAGAAATGGCTTGCAACTGAAGTCCGTTCCTATACAATCAATTTCTAAGGTTTTACAAATCGTTTGCTGAAACGGCTCATTTACTGTAGCACTGAAAAAGATCCAAAAGTCTATTGCAAGCCTATATTTTACCACGTATACTTGTGCATATCCCAAATAATTTGGTACAGAAATATAGAACTTACGGCCAATTTCTTTTTATAATCGTCATTACTCGAGCAATATTTGTCTTGAAAAGGATGCTGAAAATGACACCAATTTCATGTGGTATTGCTACACTGCTAAAGTGTGCTCTAGAATTTCAGTGTAAGCACACTTTCTTTTATACGTCAATGTGTTGTTTAATAAGGTTTGAATCTTCTTTTCTCAGATACAATGCAAAAAAATGATAAAAGACAAATTTATTTACATTTCTTATCTAGATGCACCAAGGGCTAATTATGTAGTTTCAGTGATGATTATTATCAAAATACATCAAAAAGATGGAATTACTATTTTCAAGGTTACACTAATAAGTAATTATGCCGTTTTAGAAGGAATAATTGAACATAATAACTCACAATTTTAGGGATAGAATTAGAGGTCATTGACGGATGTGCTGTTAACAATGGCGGTTGTCAACATAAATGCAAACATAAAAACGGACACACGCAATGCTTCTGTCGGAAAGGGTATTCATTAAAGGTAAACAAGTTTAAATAAGTAAGTTTCAGTCAATATTTCTGCATATAAAATTTATTATTTGTTTAATCAGAAACGTTAATACATAAAGGTGATTTCATCTTTTAACATATAGAGTGTTTATATATACATTTGTTTGCTTTCCAACATAATTTACAATTATTTGCGCAAAATTGACAGTTCAACATTAAGTTTATGAAAGTAAAAAGACGTTCTTAAATAGTTTAAATTAGTGAAATGTTTTAACGTATAGAAATGTTTTAATAAATCATCATAAAAATCAGGCAGATAACAAAACATGTGAAGATGTAGACGAGTGTGAACGAGGAGAAGCATGTTGTCAACACATCTGTGCTAATGAACATGGGGGCTACACATGCATGTGCAATAGCGGATTCAAAATACACCGGAACGGATGTCTATGTATAGGCAAGTAGTTAACAATAAATAAAAGTTTCATGTAATAAAAGTAAGATGTATACTCACTATCACTTTCCATGAACGATGTGTATTCCTTTGCTTGACACATGTAACAATGTCTAAAGCATGCTTTATACTGATTGGATGTACCCCTGACTGGAACATTTTCTGAATCCATTACAAATATTTTAGTCCTCTAACTGAAGTATTATCTCACTCCTGCTAAACGGTGGCTCTTTTACTCTTTGGTGATCTGTTTAAATGACAGCCCTCGACCAATAAGAATATCTGTTTTTTAAGAGCATAATTTTGTTTTAATCGAAGAATACTGTGCACGTACAACATACTTGTCATCATTTTGGGTACAATTTCGATACGAAATACCCACAAAATGACGTTGCTAAAACTTTTGCCAAATATTAATTTGTGTTCTGAAGTATTTTATGTACTTATAGGGTGTACCTCTAAGTGAAATAGCTTGTAAACTTCTGTCTATACCTTGCATGTTTGTTGGGGTTTTTTCTGATTGAACGTAAGTATTTTCTGTACTTACTGAGTGCATCTCTGACTAAGGCAGTTTCTGTACTAAATGAGTATATCTCTTTTCTGAAGCATGGATACACTGATGGTAAAATTGCACCAAGTTTTATAGAATTTTATAATTTGTTTTATATTTAAGTTATTTTAACTCGCATATTGTGACGTCATCATTTTATTACCAGAGCGGCGAGCTAATAAAAAATGCTGGTAATAATAACGCCTTCGATGAAATTCGTTGGTTTTTTTAACTTCAATATTAAAAATTTATACAAGGTGCTGAATGGATATACGGAACAATATAGATTTGCTGACACAAATATAACCCTCGGCTAAATATTTATCTCATTCAAGCTATATTCCCTCTCGTATATCAAGTCAGCCACTTGTATACCTAATATAATTATATTATATTTTGGCTGTGATATGCATTGAAAACGCTGCCGTACTGTGTGTGACTTTTTGAACTTTTTTGTAACCATTCATTATTTTGTGTGTTTACATATGATACATATTCAGTAGATACAATATTACAAACTTACTTCTATATGCCCTGCCAGATACAATATTATATACTTACTTGTATATGCCCTGCCAGATACAGTATTATATACTTACTTGTATATGCCCCGCCAGATACAGTATTAAATACTTACTTATATATGCCATGCCAGATACAATATTTTATACTTATATATGCCATGCCAGATAAAGTATTATATACTTACTTATATATGCCCTGCCAGATACAATGTTATATACTTACTTGTATTATAGTTTGGAGACCTTTCTGTTGAAAATGTGTCAGGGTTAAATCGTATACATATACATGCACAGTGCGTTAACTGGAGTGCGGGTATTAGTTACCCGCACTCCAGAGCATGCCCATTGATTGGCTCATTTTTGCTGGGGTTTACATATTGTGACGGCAGAGAAAGGGAAAGCGACAGAAATGTCATATTCAGATGTTCGTTCATTGGTTCATTTTTGCCGGGGTTTCATATTGTGACAACAGGGAACGTGCTTTTATGTTTGACTATGATACAAAAGAGAAAGAACACCAAAACACTCGGCAATCTGATTAATACTCGGGGGCTACGCCCCCTCGTACAAATCAGATAGCCTCGTGTTTCGGTGCTCTTTCTATTACTTATATATGCCATGCCAGTTACAATATTATATACTTACTTATGTATGCCCTGCAAGTTACAATATTTAATAGTTATTTATATATGCCCTGCTAGATACAGTATTATATACTCACTTATATATGCCATTCCATATACAATATTTTATACTTACTTATATATGCCATGCCAGATACAGTATTATATACTTACTTATATATGCCCTGCCAGATACAGTATTTCATACTTACTTATATATGCCATGCCAGATACAATATTATATACTTACTTATATATGCCCTGCCAGATACAATATTTTATACTTACTTATATATGCCATGCCAGATACAGTATTATATACTTACTTATATATGCCATGCCAGATACAATATTTTATACTCACTTATATATGCCCTGCAAGATACAATATTTTATACTTACTTATATATGCCATGCCAGATACAGTATTATATACTTACTTATATATGCCATGCCAGATACAATATTTTATACTTACTTATATATGCCATGCCAGATACAATATTTTTACTTACTTATATATGCCATGCCAGATAAAGTATTATATACTTACTTATATATGCCATGCCAGATACAATATTTTATGCCATGCCAGATACAGTATTATATACTTACTTATATATGCCATGCCAGATACAATATTATAATGCCCTGCAAGATAAATATTTAATACTTACTTATATATGCCATGCCAGATACAATATTATATACTTACTTACATATGCCCTGACAATTCTAGCAATAAAGTTTTGTTGTAATGTAATCAAGTTATTTTTTTATTATAAGACGTGGACGAATGTCAGGCAAATAACGGTGGTTGTGAGCAGCGATGTGAAAATACCCCAGGTTCGTACGGGTGCGCTTGTGAGGCTGGATTCTACCTTGCTACAGACAAGAAACGTTGTCACGGTAAACATTTAATTCCACTTGTATTTTACATGTCTATATAGTTTAGATATCAGGATTATTGTTACAATATTCCTATAAATTGGTCTTAGATTATTTTCTTGTTTATTCTTTTTTTTTAATATATTTAATTTGTCTAAAATTTTTGTTTCCTGTAGATTATTTTTCATCAGTAGCTTTTTATAAGATAATATCATTTTGTAGCGTTTTTTTTTTAATTATTTATTTGCTTTGTCATAAAATTGAGCAGATATTAATTTTTGTCAAAATAGTTTTGTTATCACACTGAACATTGTGTTATTTTTTTAGAGAATATTTTATGTTTTATGTTGTATAAATGTCGTGTGTGTTGTGTAGAGTTAGTAAGTGGATCAAGTGAGGGTAGATTACGTGGAGACCTTCCAGTTATACAGTATGACACGACGCCTATACCTATATTACCAGATGCTACTTATGATATTCAGTTACCACATGAACAAAAAGACCAGAAACCAGTTTATGGTGAGTATATATAGCATGCTTGAAAACAATATTGGTTCAACATATAAAGAAACAAATAAGGTAAACTTGTACAGTAGTAAAACTATATGCTTTATATATAACTTTTCCTTCATCGTTTCTGTAGTTTATATATCAGTAGAAAACACACTAAATATAACAATTTATATGATAAGCTTGTTGTTTAGTTACTATAATACCTTGGTAAAGAATACTGACTGTATTGTGCGTTCTTTTACTCTCTATGTCAAAAATAGTTTCTATGGTTTACGCGTGTGCGCGCTCGCCATAATCTCAGGGTTCAAACTGATTATATATATTACTGAGTGTCATTCCAAGAAAACCAAAGTCAGAAGTTTTAAACATGATTCCTTGATTTATATATAAATATTTAATGTCGCTGGACTTGCTTTCGATGGACCACTTTGTTTCCAGAATTTTATACTTCACTACAGCAGGTGTCAAGTGCCGTGTTGCAGCTGCAAAAAGTTGCCCGTACTTCACTTCAGTGTTGTTTTATTTTTCTGGTCCTTCGGGATCATTGATACCAGCACAGTGTTGGTGCTAGGGGGTGTGAGGGATGTTGCACTTATTCATTATCCCTCATGTACAGAGAATCCCCGATACACCATTGATACAATTTCTTTTTTACAAATCAATTATTTCTTTTTAAATTACACTTAGAACAAAATATAAACATTTCCTGTGTGTAATTATTTTAAAGTTCATAACATTGTTAAATATTTAAATATATAATAGTTCATTAATATTAGTATGATAACGAATAGTCGTACAATTACTATTTCGCATGTACAACCACATACAGTAGTGGTAAAGTTTTGCAAAATATAGTAGAAAAGATGAATAAAAAGGAAAATGTAAAAAAATGATTCATCATGATTCGGGCCTACAACCTTCAGTTTGAAATTGAAAGTCTAAGAAAATTGTTACACAGTTTGAAGATCCTGTAACATAATTATGCTTCCCGAAAAATTTCGGGGGAGCATATAGTCGCCGGGTTGTCCGTCCGTCAGTCCTTCCGTACGTACGTACGTCCCGAATTCGTGTCTGGCCCATAACTTCGTTATTTGAAGTCGGTTTTACAACTATTTCACAGAAATGATCACCATATTGAGACGACGTATCACGCGTAACATTAGGGTCGCTACCTTGAAGGTCAAGGTCACAGCATGACATTGCAGCAAAAGCGTGTCTGACCCATAACTTCGTTATTTGAAGTCGGATTTTACAATAATTTCACAGAAATGATCACCATATTGAGACGACGTGTCGCGCGCAAAATTTAGGTCGCTACTTTTAAGGTCAAGGTCACAGCATGACCTTGCAGCAAAATCGTGTCTGACCCATAACTTCGTTATTTGAAGTCGGATTTAACAACTATTTTACAGAAATGATCACCATATTGAGACGACGTGACGCGCGCAATTTTTGGGTCGCTACCTTGAAGGTCAAGGTCACAGCATTCCGCAGAATCGCGTCCGGCCCATAACTTTGTTATTTGAAGTCGAATTTTACAACAATTACACAGAAATGATCATCATATTGAAACGAAGTGTCGCGCGCAACATTTGCGTCGCAAGACTCTGTTTTAAATTCAAAAGTACCTGCGTTAGCCGGTTTATTGCCGCCAACATTCTCAAATCTGAATTTTAGCTCGTCTTATATTAAGTCTCTCTGTTTATCCAAAGCCTGGTAAATTTGAGACGAAATGTTTCTCACCGGAGTCGAAGGCGTTCCATTTTCATCGCTTATGGTGTCCCCTCTGGTAAGTGAATCCTCTTCCTCACTCATCGAGTTAATTGCAATACAAATTTGCTGAACCGTGCGTACTGTATGTGTAGTAAACCTCGAATGATTTAATTAAAACCGCGAAAAAAAACTCATGAAAATCTCGTGCCCCGTGCATTATTCTACCCAAATATAAACCAAACACCAAAAAGATATATTAAAAAGTACCAAAAAGAAAAGAGTAAAAATTTCACTTAAGTGTGGCAACAACCTCAATTACAACATACAGGATCTTAAACCTATGTATATTATATAAATAACACATGGGTTTATGGGTAACAGTACAAATATCATCCCGAGGAAAATACTGTTACCCGAAGCGTAACCCATGTGTTATTTATTTTATTACCCCGAACAAAAATGCTGTGATGATCTGAAATTGTCAACTAAATCTAGCTGTAACAATAATAAACCAAGAGTACCAATAACTAATCTGTCCTTACCTTTTAAGTTTTAAAGGTACTTTAGGCCTACTTGAGGAGTTTTCTTTTTCTTTTATTCTTAAAGCAAGTGATGATATCTACCAGTCATAAACATACAATAAGCTGTGTTTTATTTAAAAAACAAAACACTAACCGTTTATACGGTTATGATCTGTGAAACCTGATTCTTCTGTATCCAGAATATTCTTCGCATGGTTTTTGACAAAATAACGATGATATCTTATGTATGTCCTCCATATATGTAACGTTTCACTGATTAAAATGGTTAAATTATCATTTGTTTCATGCCTAAATCGTCTGCATGTTCCAGTTTGAGACATACTTATTCCCATTGCAATTACTTCCGTTAAAGGATGTTTACTTTTTGACTATTCAACAAAAATATATGTTATATGCGAAAAGCACTCCAGGGTGCAAACAACTAAATTTTATGGGTGTCATAGTTACTCTGGTGATGTCCTGTCGTGGTGAAGGTCGAAAATATGAAAGAATCGAGAACAATTTATTTAGAAAATAGACCACGTGACCAAATTTTATACTGTTCCTATGCAACAGTACAAAATTCTTAGTCACGTGGTACACTTGAATTAATAGTAAGAATAACTCCCAGCGGTTTTGGTGAAACAGATACGTCGTTTTCCAAAACCTAAAATAACCCGTAAGTTTTCATTAACTCAGAATATAAACTGTTTCTTGCTGTAAAATAAAGTTTAAAATAATGTTTAGTACTATCAGTTTTTAGTCTCAGAACGGCGTCCAAAATGGCATCAATGTATATATTTTAAAGTACTAAAGTAGTTTGTTATATGGTCTTAATTGTTCAGATTTTTCAAGTGGTAAAATTAATAAAACACTTAACAAATCATTATTTAAGTACCATTATGGTGGCCGGTAACGTCCATTTTAAAGTCGCGAGAAATGTTTCCCCCAGTTTATAAAATGTCGCATCCGCGATATTATGTCAAAATTGTTTAAATGTCGCAGCTTATAGAAACTCTCGAATTTTTGTCACACTTCTGTCACTTCTAAGCCACATAAGAAAATAAAATATGCCTACTTTAGTTAGCCCATGACGGCCATTTAAATTCGAGATATTTTGTTTTTATGTATACATTGTAAAATGTAGAGAAATAGCGTAAAGTGTCGACTTTTTATGCCTTTTTTAATAAGCCCGCGACATTTTATAAGACGATAGTTTTCGCAGGTTTGAAATGCCATCACATACTGAAGTAAATTAATATATGGTCAATTTGTTTTTAGATACTTCAAGTGGTAAAATGATTAAACATTTACCCCTTTGGAAGCACACACATCAGAATGTAAATGGCTCTTAGTTACACAGTAATGTATATAAGTATCTACCGTCATTTTGATCTCCACCTCAAATATTTCAATGTCACAACTCGAATATAAGTCAGTACTCGGTATTAAAGCAGAACTCAATTGACATCTTCAGAACTCTGGAACCCTAAGTGCGTTGATACGTAGCATATTAACGCACTTTGGTGTCAAATTCACGATTTTGATCACAAAGTGCGTTTGATCCCAAAGTGCGGTGATACAGATCTATAACTCTCAGTACAATTACTTCTCATATTAAATAACATATGACAGTGTACATCACGGAACGTACCAAACATCTATTGGAGGTTAATGTATTATGTACACTGACACGCTAGTGGCTGCAGTTTTGATCCAAATATTTTGGAAATTTGTCAGGAAAGATGTTTTGATAATTTTTAGGTCAAGTTCCAATATGAGTCGTCTCCGGTCAAAAACATGGTCACAGGGGCTAAAAATAGAAAATCTTTTTAACACTCTAGTGGCTGCAATTTTTATCCAAGTATCCTGGAAATTGGTCAGGAAGATTGTTTTAATGATTTCTAAGTCAAGTTTGAATATGGGTCATCTCCAGTCAAAAATTAGGTCACAGGAGCTGAAAAATATAAAAATCTTATTAACACTCTAGTGGCTGCAGTTTTGATCCAAATATTTTGAAAATTTGTCAGGTAGGTTGTGTTGATGATTTCTAGGCCAAGTTCAAATATTAGTCGTCTCCGATCAAAAACTAGGTCAGAAGTTTTGTCTCGCCCTTAAATGACGAGCTGGGATGTGAAGCTGACTCGACACTCAGCAAACATTCATGTCAACATACATTATTTTGTCTCTTTCTGTAATGGCGAGCTTGGATATGAAACTGACTCACATTTCATCAAAAATTCATGTCAACATACGTTGTTTTGTCTCGTCCTTGAATGACGAGCTTGAATGTGAAACTTGCTCGACATTTAGCAAGCATTCATCTCACCATACATTGTTATGAATCGTTCTTTTATGACGAGCTGGGGTGTGGAGATGGCTCGACAGTCAGCAAAAATTGATGTCAACATACGTAGTCTTGCCTCGTCCTTGAATGACGAGCTGGGATGTGAAGCTACGTCGACACTCAGCAAACATTGATGTCAACATACGTTGTTTTGTCTCGTCCTTGAATGACGAGCTTGGATGTGAAGCTGGTTCGACATTCAACAAACATTCATCTCAAAATATGTTGTTTTGTCTCGTCCTTAAATGACGAGCTGGGATGTGAAGCTGGCTCGACACTCAGCAAACATTAATGTCAACATATATTACGTTGTTTTGTGTCGTTCTCGAATGACGAGCCTATTTACACTCTAGTGGTTGCAGTTTTGATCCAAATATTTTGAAAATTTGTCAGGAAGGTTGTTTTGATGATTTCTAGGCTAAGTT